ACATATCAAAAGCATAAATGAAAAGGAAACAATCTTTTCCCATTGGAGCGATACAAACGAAGATTTTAAAGCACAAGGAAATAGGAAACTAACTTCTTTTTCCCAATGTCAGGAATGTCAATGCTTGCACCATTCTCAACAATCATCTGCATAGAGGCTCAAATCAGAACAGAGTATGCCCCCAGTGAATGTTTAGGAACTAAACAAATCTTATTCAGTGAAAGTCTTACCGGGGTCCGATGTGGATTATTCTCTTCTGTTTGGGTCATTCCTAAAACATTTTAGCCCAAAAAATCAGTAGAAAATAGATGAGAATCGGCAATTTCCGAAATAAATTCTGCATCTACGAAATTTTGAACAAATATTTAAAGAACTATACTGACCATGTAATTAACCCAAAAAAAGAAGCAAAAAACACATACCCTGAGGATATTCGTTCTTGAAAGAGCTTTCGGCCATGGTGAAACGCACGCTACAGTTCTCTGCCAATTTTCAAACAAGGAGACATCAAAACCACATACGAAATTTTGTTTCCTATAAATTAACCCACAACATCAAAGGCGAGGAAAAAGTTGTTGGTGGAAGTATTTCGCGAAAACATAACACACCAAAGATCGATTCGATTAGGGTTTCGGTAGTTGTGAACTGGGAAAACAACAAAGGATCAAAATCAATGAAAGGGAGAGAGAATTATATATACAAATACGATAGATTAATTTTACGGGTTTAATCTCGTGAACAGACCTGTTGGATCGTCTGGATCGTTTCCGATTCCAAGTTTTCAACACGACTGAAAGGGAGAGAGAATTATATATATCACCTTTTTAGTCGGCGTCTCTCTCTCTCTCTCTCTCTCTCTCTTATTATTATTACTATTCTGTCTGGCCACAATGGGAAACGATTCGATTAGGGTTTGGCAATTGGTATTTCACGAAAAAATCCAGACATCTGAATCTCTCCCTATTTATATAACGTTTTAGGCGGCCAGTTTCATGTCCGCTTCACAACCTTTTGTTTTTTTTGTTTTTTTGTTTTGACAAAATTTTTAAAAATAAGTGGTTGTATTGTATTGGTATTGATTATTGAATATGAATTTTGAAAAAAAAAAATTGGTGGAATTTAAAGGGTTTATTTTTTATTTTTTCAAGAAACTAAAATGAACTGAACTGAATTTACCTTATTAACGAAATGAACTAAAACAGCACGAGTGAACTTTCACGAGCCCAATCCCTTTCTGTATATATTTTTTGTCCATTTTACCATGCACAGTAATTCAAGTACCATACTGGTAAATCACATATATGTTATTTGAAAAAACTACATCTAAAATACAAAACAGTTTTGAGGTGTCTGCAACTGCAAAACATATTGTTTAATAGAATATTTTCTCTTTTAATATCTTTTAGGGCTAACATCAAAAGACACCCTCTAGGTTTGGGGTCATTCTTAATATGAGCCCCCGGGTATCAATTTCATCAATTTACACCCCAAT